TATATATAATATTCAAATCAAGTTTGCTGCTTAGCACAGTAAACACAATATAAAAAATAAATACAGTGCTCAAAATAGGAACATGTAATAATCGTATCAAGCATAGCTTATCAATTACAAGTTCATATATTTCAGTTGTATGATAAAAAAGTCTCTCTGGCAGGACTCTTGTTATCCTCATGGTTGGTATCATTAATTGAAACATTAAACTTCACATTTAAAAAGTGCAAACAATTTATCAGCGAAGATTAAGACTTTACAGTGTATTATAAATCCAAAATTCTGTTAAAAATTCTATGGAGCATCTAAAAAAATTGTTTCAGTTTGTATCTCTGTGATAAATTGTTTGCTGCTTTTAAATTTAAAAAAATTATTTTAAACTAATTATATTTTTATATTTAAACCACTATTTAGTCCTATGCAAAAAATAGAAATATGGGGTTCACCGATAAGCTTTACATGCAATGGGTTGTATCACATTTTGTTCAGAGCTAGCTATTTTTTTTGAAAGCTAGCTTATACTGTAATATAAATATTTAAAATAATCAATTCCACTATATAAATTTACTTTTCATTAGCTCATCAGAAGACTTCATATATTTAAGAATCCGAAACTGCAAACCTGTTATTAAAATCTTTGCCACTAAAGGGGGGGCCCCCAACCTGCTCCCCCATAGATACGCCACTGTCCTGGTGCTCCGACGATCTAAGCATTTTTAAGATGTTCTAAAACAAATTTCAGGGAGTGTTTGTTGAAAATACCGGATAGGCCTACATAAACAAAAAATATTTCTAATAAAGCCATGTGCAATTTGAGTTTTAATGTACATTACGTTTAATTTGAGCACCCGAACTATGTACACAAACATTTCATTAATTAAACAAACAAAAAATTAATAGGCATAGGCCAATTGATCAATTTTTAGTAACGCGTCAGTGAATTAAGTATTCACGTAAATATACGTCAATGACTCAAGTTACTGCATGACCGTTTTTATATTAAAAAAAAAAACCAATTTCTTCTAATTTTAAATACATTTTCGCCTGAATTCGTGATAATTCATTATCATGCATAGACCTGTGCTAAATGCATGACAAATTTATGATCACGCATGTGTTTTTGCAAAATGTCTGTTTCAACCAAAATCATTTGAAATGCAGGACTGTCCCGCACACGATGCGAGACAGTAACTATGGCGTCAATGTATGTAAACATATACATTTGAGGGAAAATTTGTGTGTTTATTGGCCAAGTGTGTATTCTTGTTTCTGCTCTGATTGGTCAGTTGTTAAATTTGTGAGAGACTATGAAAAGGTCCATTTTAAGTGCCTTGAGATTTGGATTGTATTTACAATATAGAAATACAAGGCCATTACCATTGCAATAATATTAGTGTATAAAACATAGGCTTTAACATTGGTTGAAATGAATAAAGAAATGAAATTTAAATAATATTATATTCATTTTTGTTAGACATTACAATATTTGTTATGAATGCGAATGAAAGCAATTGGTTGTTGTGTGTTTGTGTATATTTATATATATATATATATATATATATATATATATGTATATATATATATATATGTATATATTCCTATATATATATATATATAT